TAATAATTTATAAATTATCAAGGGCTCATGAGGGATGGGGGCGGGGAGGGAGGGGAAACAAATGAAGACCTGATGCCAGGGACTTAAGTGGAAAGGAAATGTTTTGAGAATGATGAGGGCAATGAATGTACAAATGTGCTTTACACAATTGATGTATGTATGGATTGTGATGAGTTTGAGCCCCTAAAAAAATGATTAAAAAAAAAGTATATACTGCCTCCTTTGATCTCAAATAGTTGATAATTCTAAGAAGTGCACACCTCCCCGTACACTTTGTGTTTTATGTTCACCTTATTCACCAAACATGGCTGAAAGCTGAGCCATTGGGGTGTTCGGCTCCAACCCTAAAGGATGACCATGGTTCCTAGTCTTAGGGGCTCCACCAGTCTTTAACCAACCAGTGAACCAGGTCATTTTAATGATTTTAAGTTTTGTTCTACATTTTTTCTCCCACTCTGCGTACAACCCTCTAATGTGATTCCTTTCAGAGAGACTGGTAGTGGGAATATGGTTCTTTTGGCCTCAAGGTCTGGAACCTGAGGTTCACTTGGTCCATAGTCTACTTGACTCATTGTTTCCATGAGTTTTTGGTTGTCTTCACTCTTGCTCCGCATGAGAAACCAGTAGTGGCATGCTAGGTGGTCACTTACAAGCTTTCAAGAACTCAGTGGGTACAGAGTTGGATTTGGCAATGAACGAGAGCCGCTCTGCATCTTTGCCAACGGGTGGTGTCAGTGTTCTGGATTTTAGCCATGCTAATAAGTATGAAAGAAGTCCTGGCAGTGCAATTATTAACTACACAGTTGCTAAATGAAGAGCTGCTTGTTCAAACCCACCAGGTGCTCTATAGGAGAAAAATGTGTCCTGTAAAGATTTACAGCCTTGGAAACCCTATGGGGCAGCACAATTCTATACTACTGAGTTACTATGAATCAGAATTGACTCATAGGCAACGAGTTTATTTTAATAGGTATGAAGCAGATCACCTTTGTTTTGATGCCAAAATGTTCTAGATGTTGCCAGTGGTAACCCATCTGAGTTCGTTTTTAAGTCCCTTTTGATGTATCCTCATAATTTTTTGAGACTATCCTTTCTCTTTAGCAAAGAATATTCTGGATATTTAGCCAGGATCTCCCTTGCTCCAGCCTTAATTTCTCTAAGACCCTGGTTCTTATAAGGTGGGTTCATGCTCTTGGAAAATTGGCTGCTCTTAGGACTTCTCAGTGAACAGATCTAGGGAATATGTATGTGTATACCCCTTTCCTGACACACACACAGAGAAACACACACATATACAATAGATATATTCTTCTATATTTATCTCTCTCTCTCTCTACACACACACACACACACACACACATACACACACACATACAGATATATTTAAAAACATGAATTTGTACCAATGCCTCCAATTCCAAGCCAACATTACAGGGTTAATTCTAGTTTTCTTTGTGTACCTATAGCTACCTTTCTACATAAGAGAAATTGTCATGAACTTATTTAACTATTTTACCATTACCACTGCTGACACCTGGTGCAAATGTCCTCCTTACCCTCTTTGAGTTCTGACATGCCTCACAGGGTCACTGTCACCACTGCTCCCCCAACAGGATCCTTTTAATCCTACTTGAGCTCTGTCACTTCTTCCCAGGCCGTGCAGATGCCTTCCTCAACGCCTTGTACTCTTGACACCTCATATTGTCACGACCACTGCCCCTTCTCTCTCCATGCCGTTGTCATCCTCCTACCCTGCTCAGAATCTGATGCCTTATGCCAGCCACTGCTGCCACCACTCCCCATCCCACACATGGGTGCCCATTATGAATTTTTGCCAGTAAGATTGGCGAAAAATGTTATCTTGAAGTAATTTTAATTCTCAAGTGAGGCTGAGCATTTCACTTGTTTGAAAGTCATTTAACTGTCTTTCTGAGAACTGTTCAATTTTTGTATTGGATCATTGATCATTTTGAAAATTGATTTATCTGTATCTTTTAATTTTTCCTACAATGTTTGTTTTTTGGGTAAGAGGAAGCTACAATGAAAGGATAGTTTTCGTAAAAAAAATTTCTCAAAAAAACCCCAATTAGTTTTCTTATAGCTAAAAAGTACTCCAAAAGTCCATGGTAGCTAGTAGCTCCTCAGGTAGGGCCCTATTTTCACCTCTCTTTGTGGTGAAGTCTGCACCGCTCATATGAGCTTAGTGACCTGAGAGCTACTTTGGTTGCTTGTCTTTTGGTCAAGAGTCCTGGAAAAACCACAAACTCTCTTACCTGATAAGAGTTTTGTAGTTCTACCTTGGTCATCACTTCACAGAATCTCCAATAGCCTTAAAAGGATAATAGGTCACTGGTAATCATCCCATTCTATTTTGAACCCTAGGCTTAGGAAGATGAAGTGACTTTCCTTCTTCTTCTTCTTTTTTTTTGCATTTTACTAGTTTTGTTTAATAAAGATTTCTATGCTTTTGTAGCTTTTAAAAAATCATCTTATAAGGTGCTCATACAACTCTTATCACAATCCATACATACATCAATTGTGTAAAGCACATTTGTACATTCATTGCCCTCATCATTCTCAAAACATTTGCTCTCCACTTAAGCCCCTGGCATCAGGTCCTCATTTTCCCCCTTCCTCCCTGCTCCCCCCTCCCTCATGAGCCCTTGATAATTTATAAGTTATTATTTTGTCATATCTTGCCCTGTCCGACGTCTCCCTTCACCCACTTTTCTGTTGTCCATCCCCCAGGGAGGAGGTCACATGTAGATCCTTGTAATCGGTTCCCCCTTTCCAACCCACCCTCCCTCTACCCTCCCCGTATCGCCACTCACACCACTGGTCCTGAAGGGATCACCACCCTGGATTCCCTGTGTTTCCAGCTCCTATCTGTACCAGTGTACATCCTCTGGTCTAGCCAGACTTGCAAGGTAGAGTTTGGATCATGATGGGGGGTGGGGGGAAAGCATTTAGGAACTAAAGGAAAGTTGTATTTTTCATCATTGCTACATCGCACCCTGACTGGCTTGTCTCCTCCCTGAGACCCTCTGCAAGGAGATCTCCAGTGGCCTACAAATGGGCTTTGGGTCTCCACTCCGAACTCCCACCTTCATTCACTATGGTAAGATTTTTTTGTTCTGATGATACCTGATCCCTTCAATACCTCGTGATCGCACAGGCTGGTGTGCTTCTTCCAAGTGGGCTTTGTTGCTTCTGAGCTAGATGGACGCTTGTTTACCTTCAAGCTTTTAAGACCCCAGACGCTATATCTTTTGATAGCCGGGCACCATCAGCTTTTTTCACCACATTTGCTTATTCACCCGCTTTGTCTTCAGCAGTTGTGTCGGGAAGGTGAGCATCATAGAATGCCAATTTAATAGAAGAAAGTGTTCTTGCGTTGAGGGAGTACTTGAGTGGAGGCCCAATAGAAGTGACTTTCTTATATGGAACTTACATGAAAGATAATTTTAGTCTATGTACTCAGGGTCCTACATTTAGTAATTAAGACAAAGCTTTGAATTGAGCCCAGGTCTTCTGTCTTCCAGGTGCTCTTTCTAACGGCAGAATTCACGATGAGGATCCTATTACTTCAAGTGGTCAAGGGAAGTTGAGGAACTTCTCTTATTCGGAAGACTACAGGCTAAGCTTTTGACAGACCAGGGCTGGACAGGTAGAGTGAGGAGTACTAGAGCCGAAGGTCTATCTATGCTCACCTTTGGCAGCGGTCAGCATGGTGGAGGCCAGTTCACACTGCTGTGATTCCAAGTGTCCAAGCGTGAACCAGCGAGGATAACGGCTGGGTACCACCGACACCATATGGTGAGGGTGGGAAGTGTCACCTGTAGAGGTTGAGTTTTCTAGAACTGGTAACCTAAAAGACCCAAGGAGAGTCATCAGTGACCAACTAGACCCTTGCCATTCTGAACCACCTTAGAGAAGCTTGTTCTTTGTTGGGGAGAAACTGGGCAGGAAAAGGCCAACCAAGAGTTGTGAATGTTTGAAAATCTAAGGTACTATAGTCTATGTGGAGTGAGTTCCTGGGTACTTGTAGAACTCAACAAATTTTGTTATAATCAGACCTCACTACATCCCTGAAATGCCTCTGGTGACATGTGTTTGAGAACTGTGACTCAGTTGAGCTCTGGAAGGTTGGAGACCCTTGTAAGGATATCTAAGTCTTTTTACCTTGGGTGCTTTATATCTATTAATAGCTCAGGGGCTTCCCCAGATAACCCACCAGGAGTACAGCCAGTGAGGCAAGTGGTCACCAGTAAGGCATCCTAGATAAGAATCCTAGATCGTATGAAAAGCCTGAGTTATTTTAGGTCCAAAAGAATAGACAAAGAGGGAGGGATTCGCAAGCGAGATAAAGAAAGAAAAAGAGCACTGGAAACTTCTGCTGTGTTGGAGGGAAGAGGCCTGGGAAAGGGCCACCCACCTCATGGCACGTAAGGCTAATTTATAGGACAAGTCTGGATCATGAGGCAGGAGAGCTGAGAACAAATATTTGGCAAAGGTATGCATGGGCACACTTTCTCGATGGATGACTTCTCCCAGACCGCTGAAGGGACCGCCTGCAGAAGAAAAGACAAGCCAGCCAGTTATTTATCTGCACACTTCCACTTGCCAGCCTGGACTTGAGCCCCAGGATCCCAAGTGCATCATGGGGATTTTCACTACACTTCAATGCCATAAATGTTCCTATCCTTGTGCTCTGTTAGCGATGGGGAGTCCAAGGACACTGGTAAAAAACGCTATACCAACAGCTTTTCGCCACTTACCTTCCAGCAGTAAGATGCACTGTTTCTGCAGTGTCTGCACTAGTTCATCATCCAGTTGCAGTTCCTGCAGTCGACTCAGGAGTTGCTCCTCATTTCGGCACACTTTATCCTGTGCGTAGAGGCCTTCAGGCATCACCCTCTGTTGGCCCATTCCCATCAGAGCAACTTCAAGGGCCAACGATAAGTAGGACTCACTGTTGTTTGGGCAGCCTGCAGCCACAGGTACATGCTGGTACACAGGGGTTCTGCTCTCACTCATATCTGAGGGCAACAGGTTGCTTAGGTCAGGCACCGTATATTCTTCTGCCTTTCTTGCCCTCTCCCTTTGGATACAACTTGGTTAATAGATATCATAGAGACGCTGAGTCAGAACCCAAAGCAATAAGGAAATATACCAGAAAAAATTATACTGCACTATAAAGATTATTAGGTGGCAAGGCCAGTTGGGGAAGTATAAAACCTTATAGTTGTCTTTTGTTAGCATATTATATAATGCCATTGTTGTTTGTTTTTGTCTGTCTCTTTCACTAGAGTGTAAGTACCTTAAAGGGAAAAGACTTTACGTTATTGCCTGATCGAGGCCTTGAGTGTATTTAATAGTGAATGAATGAATTCCAAGTGCAACTTCAAGATACCTGTGCCACTGTGTAGATGAAACGGGCCAAAGATGGGGCTTCCTTCTGCAGGGGATCAAAGGCAAGACAAGGGCAGTACTAATTTGGTGTAGGCTACTCTTTGCATTTCTACCCAGATAAATCCAAACCCATCAAATAAACTCTTACTTTTATACAACACTCACAGCTTTGGTATTATTATTTTATATGCTTCACTACTGGGTTTACAGTTTCAGCAAAAGAGCACAGGTTTAAGTGGTGTGAGTGGCGATACTAGGAGGGTAGAGGGAGAATGGGTTGACCTCCTCCTTGGGTGACATACAACAGAAAAGTGGGTGAAGGGAGATGTCAGACAGGGCAGGATATGACAAAATAAACAATTTATAAATTATCAAGGGCTCATGAGGGAGGGGGGAGCAGGGAGGAAGGGGAAAAATGAGGACCCGATGCCGGGGGCTTAAGTGGAAATGTTTTGAGAATGATGAGGGCAATGAATGTACAAATGTGCTTTACACAATTGATGTATGTATGGATTGTGATAAGAGTCGTATGAGCCCCTAATAAAACGATTAAAAAGAGCAGAGGTTTAAAAGCCTTGATTACTTTTCCCCTTCATCTAATAAATATTTATGGCACAGCATGAGACTCTAAGGAGCTGTGGTGACATAGTGGTTGAATGCTTGGCTGCTAACCAAGAGGTTAGTGGTTCAAACTCACCAGCTGATCCACAAGAGAAAGGCAGTCTGCTTCTGTAAAGATTTACAGCTTTGAAAACTGCACGGGCCAGTTCTACCCTGTTCTATTAAAAACAAAACCCAAAACACCCAAACTCACTGTCATCAAGTCCAAGCTGACTCAGTGACTCTACAGGACAGGGTAGAACTGCCCCTGTGAGTTTCTCAGACTGCGACTCTTTATAGGAGCAGAAAGCCCTTTTTTCTGAGGAGCTGCTGGAGTTTCAAACTGTAGACCTTGTGGATCGCAGGCCAACTTGCAACCATTACACCAATAGGGTTGCTTCTGCAGGGTTACTAGAAGGTGAAATTGACTTGATGGCAATGGATTTGGGTTTTTTAAAGGGGTCCCTCCTCGGTGGAGCAGATTGTGAAGCACTCAGCTACTAGCCCCAAGCTGGAGGCTTGAATCCACCTAGAAACACCACAGAAGATACGTTGGTGATCTGTTCCCCAAAGGCCACAGCTTTGAAAACAGCAGGAGCTGTTCTACTCTGCACACATGGGGTCCTCTTGAGTTGGAACTCACGACAGCAGCCACCACCACCATTAAATAGCAGGTGCTGCACTAAGTGTAAGGATCAGAAAGATAAGTCCATCAAAATTTTAAACAAATCGTAATGCAGGTTGCTAAATACTTCAGTGGATGTGTGTACAAGATCGTGACAGAAGAATCAATTCTGTCTCTAGTCCTGGCTACTCTGAGATTCTACTAAATGCTCCCACTTTACGAGACTCTGGGTGGTGTAAATGGTTTGCACTGGACTACTCACTTACAGCTTGCCAGTTTGACCTCACCCAGCGGTGCCATGAAAGAAGGGCCTGGTGATTTGCTTCTGAAACAACTGCAGCCAAGAAAACCCCGGGAGCAATTCTACACTGCAACACGGGGTCACCATGCGTCACAACCTACAGGGCAGTGCCAGGTTTGGTTTGTCAATTTTTAAAATTTCTCATTTGTGAATCTGGTACAAAGCCCTCAAGAGGGGAAACGTTCAATGGAGACCAGAGAGTACTCTGTAATTGCAAGGCGGGGCAGGGGTGGGGGGTGGGGGGCGGGGGAGTGGGTGGGAACTCTCAATGGAAATCTCTCCCCTATCCAGACTGCTCTGAGGACTTGGCATGTGCCTCCTAAAATTCTTCCCACCTTGGACCAAACTCCTTAAGTATTTAGGGCAGAGAACAAGAAATAAGCAAAGGAAAGTGGGTAAGGTAAAATGGGAAAGTAGGATCGGACTAGGATGGTAGGAAAGAGAGCAGCCCAAGGAAACCTTTCAGGGATGGCCAGTTTGGACAAAAGGCAGACCAGTCAGACCGGAGTCTGGCAGGAGGAGACTACCTCAGGCTGACCCCTGTACCTGACACTTCCAGATAGCCATCATCATTCAGGCGGCAGGCCTCAGTCAAAGTGAGAAAAAGACAGCCAATGGGGTCCAGGGGGTGGCCCACCCAGCCCTCCAGGTTTGTGATGGTTGTGGTTCCTCTCTGCAACAGTTCTGGAAGCAAGCAGGTTCGAGTTTTAGAGCGGAGAAGACACACGTTGCTTTATGTCCCTGCCTGGGTCTCCTGCTCAGCATTCTGCAGGCCTTGGCTTTGAGGATCAAAGAAAAGCTACTCTCCTTGTTTTGCCTCAAGTTGACAGGACTGGCTAAAAGCTTACCATGCGCACTGCATTTAGGCTGCCTTCTGGCAGTGCACACAGATGGATATAATTGTAGAATTTAAAAAGGGTTTTTCATACCAGATCTTATGTGAGCTTTACAAAAGTAAGTGAAGCAAGAAAGGCATTATTATGTTCTTTATACAGATGAGAGAGCTAAGATTCAGAGAGGTAGGGTGAGGTAGTCTAGATCACATGGCAGGTAGAATGATCTGTAATCCTCTAAGCCTTGCTATACCCACACTGTGAAATTTAATAAAAATTAAATACAGTCCTAGGTCTTCCACCACCCAAGGAACCTCATCAATTCCAGGCCAAAGGGCTTTCCACTGCTCCCAATTGTTATACCTTTCTTTTGATGCTTGTAGATCTCCAGTTGCCTCTGTTGCTGCAGCCTCAGAGTATTGATAATGGCCGCCGTGAGTCTGAGGGCCTCTTTTGGATAACCATGGGAACGCAAGGCATCAACCCGAGCGCAGGCTGTAGGTACATGCTCTATAGGATAAGAAGAAAATATCTAAGTTGAGTTAAATTTTCAAGTCAAGAAAATGCATGCTTGACGAAGGTAGTTTGTATTCAGTTCAGTTCCTGAAATTCAACCTGACATCTATTGTGTACCAGGAACTTGTTTATTCATTAAAGATAAAAAGTTGAATAAATCCTAAGTACCACATTTAAGTGCTACCATAGCCTCAGGGGAAAGGTGCGGTGTAGAAAGAGATACACAACTAAGATATAGTACTACTCTTTGTGAACACGTACTAAGGCAGGGGTTGTCAACCTTCCTAATGCCGCGACCCTTTAATACAGTTCTTCATGTTGTGGTGACCCTCCAACCATAAAATTATTTTCATTGCTACTTCATAACTGTGATTTTGCTACTGTTATGAATCGTAATGTAAGTATCTGATATGCAGGATGTATTTTCATTGTTACAAATTGAACATAATTAAAGCCTAGTGATTAATCACAAAACAATATGTAATTATCTATTGTGAAATATTTATTTCTAATGACAAATCAATGAAATTTTGTCTTGAAGTATGGGGTAGCCTGGGTAACAATCTTCATGCCGGGTACTCGTACTCCTATGGGGGCATATCTGCATGTGGGCGGACCCTCCTGGAGACAGATAGAGGAACTGTGTCTCGGTTCCTAAAACCATCAGAAATATGTGTTTTCCGATGGTCTTAGGTGAAAAGTGTTCACTTATTAATTCTATAGTTCCTGGAAATTTACTATATGCCAGGTGGTGTGCTCAGTAAAGGAAATACAAAGATAATCAGAAATGAGCACTGACCTCTAGGAGTTCACAAATGCTATATAAACACATAATGATAAAATAATGGAAAAAAGACATAGTAGAATATATGCAGAGCAAAGGTAATGTTTTGAACTGAGCATTGGTAGATAAATAGATAGACAAACAGGGAAAGGTATTCCTGGAAAAGGCATACAAATAAAAGCATAAGAGGTACACTGTAGAATAGTGTCAGAGTCTAACAAATAGCTCAGCATTAAGTAGCTGGAGATAACGCTAGAAAAATAGAAAGGCTTTGAGTAGAACAGTAAGCAAACTGAACTTACCTTAGAAATAATGGAAGATTACTACAGACTTATAAATGGGTGAGTGATTATAAAGAAATTTGTGAATTATTTTAAAGATGACACTAGAAGTCAGAGAATTGCAGAAAATTAAAAAATATGGATACACAGAAAGTAGTAAATAAAACCCATTTATAATCTCATTACCCAGAGATAACCATTTTCAGTTTCATGTATAGTCATCCAGACTTTTCTACTCAATTTTTAATAAAAGTAGGGTATTATAATTATTTCTTTTTAGTCAATGTCTTAATTATTGTTTTTTACATTGGCTTTCTCCACTTAATATCATACATTGTAAATATCTTCCCATGCCATTAAATATATTCTATAATGTTAAAAGAGATGAAATATCATTACTGAATATGTATACCATCCATTGTTGTAACCCTCTTTTGTTGGATATTTGGATTGCTTCTAGTTTTCCCACCTGTAAATTCTTTATACCCATGCTCTAATGAACCCCCTAGCTTATGCATATCCTTAGTTAATTAGGGCTTTTGGATAAATTCCTAGACATAGATTTCTTGGCTTAAAAACCAGTGTATTTCCATCTATTTCCATGCAATGTTTCTGACACTAGAAGATGGTTCTTTATTTTAAAAAACCTCTGACCATTTGGCATTACCAAATGATAGCTAAGTGCTTTCAAATATGCATACTTAATTATCAATGAGGTACATATTTTTTCACATGCCTATTAGACTTTTGTTTAACAGGTGTTGGGTCAGAGAAGAAGAAAGATGATCAGAAGGAATTCCACGTGGTGACCCACAGTGAGTCTGGCCAAAGCTTCCAAGAGAGAAAGAGACATATATCTAGTTGGTGCAAGCTCTTCAAAAAGACAGAAGATATGGGGTGAGAGAGTTGGAAGACGACATTGAAAATGTATGAGCTACCTTCACTCAGTTGAAAATAAAAAGTTAAAAAAGAAAACATGTATGCGTTGTTGTGAGACTCAGAAAATAATATTTTAAAAAGTCTTTAATTTAAAATAGGCACCCTAGGAGAAATCCAAGGAGAGTGGTACTAGAAGGCCCCATCAGCAAACTCGCTCAGAGGAGGGTTTAAACGCAGGATGGGACAGCTCTGTGCTGCTGTGATGAAGGAGGGGAGGAAAATGGGAAAGAGAAATGGAAGGCAGCTTGGTGAGAAATGCAGATTGTGCCTCAGCTACTAACACGGGGTAATTTAAGTTTCAGGCTTAGTGCTCTTTTAGCAAACATGCAATTTTAGAGTAGATTATAATGCTACTCAGTAACGGCTGACTGAGATAGCCTGTGAACAAATGTCTAATGATTTTGTTAATACTTGAAGATTTGTTAACTCCTTTTCCTGTTCAAAGCTGAAAGGACAGGATACAAATTCTTCCATTTGAGGTTATTGTACCTCAGCTGAATGCATGCACAAATAGCTCAGGCTTCACATAAATAACCTGAGGCCCTAAACAAGGTCTCAACAGATCTGGGTGAAGAACATCCAAATTGCAGTTGATGTTGCTGGTATGCATCTAGCTTATCCACGCCTTTCAAGAGTAGAGATAGACTTACCAAGCCACAGTGGCTGGCCTTGAGAATTGAAGAGCAGTCTCTCACTTTCCCGTTGGCAAGCAGGAGCTGTATATAGATCACTGCTGATTATCCGCTGTAAGTGGCTGTCCTGCCAATGCAATTCACGGCCCTCGATGGCTCTAGTGAACACTGTTCGTCTTGGTCTGGATAGAGAGTCTGGAGAAAGAAAGAAATATAATATAATAATCTACTGATAGGCAATCCAAAGCTCCAGCTTTTGTATCTTCTTCAGGTTGAAAGGATGGACAAACGATTAGCATGTGGCTAAGTGTGAATAGCCACTTTGTATGTCAGTGTTTATTGTGTTGCTTCTTTCTTGGATAAAGTGTCAGCAAGTCTGTGCCCTCTATGGAAAGAGTCTTCTTAGAGACTGACGCTTCCTTTGAAAGAAAACCAATTTCTTTTGGGACCCCGAGCCACAGACAAGAAAGGAATGACAGTGGGCCTCAGCTGCTCAATCAATGAGGCGCCTAACTGGCCCTATAGAGGTCAGAGGTAGAAAGAAACAGCTAGATAGCTTTTCTGGATAATCCGGAACCATTTGTAGCATGAATCTTATCACACTAAGGACTCCTGGGAAATTAATATTAAAGATTATAAAGTGCTGAAGTCTTGTGTATTTGGGACTTTTATCATACTGGTATCCAAAGGCTTACAGTTTTGTCCCACAATAAGGAAAATCGATGCCAGCAAAACTGATGAACTTTTTTCTCATTGGCATCTTACCATGCTATTTTTCTTCTGGAAAAGGGTTTCTGGGAATTCAAATCTGCAGACAAAATACGCTCAATCTTTAGGGTGTAGACAGACTAAAACGTCATCATAAAAATAGGATAATGATAGGAGATAGTATCAGAGAGATAATGGGGATCCAGGTCATGGAAGGCCTTAGGCCATAAGTAAAAGGCTTTTTTAGTAAGATGAGAGGCCCTAGAAGGCTTTAAATCATGAAGGAGCATGACCAGACCTGTATTTCAGAAGTCGAACTCTAGCAGTGGTTCTGAGAACAGACTAAGATAAAAGGGTAGAAACAGAATGAAGGCGTTATGAAGGATAGATAGTAGATATGTGGGGAGCACTCAACCTAAAACCAGTGGTCAGAGATTTAAAATAAGAACAACTAACATAGTTGTGCTTCTATCCATGTTTAGCTGTGCAGGTGTGAGTTATTACTAGGGTCTTTTGTTACATGAGTGTGACAGAGGGAAAGAGTGTATATGCAAAGGAGTGAGTATAATGATGTGCCAAGGAATTTTACCTGGGTAAATAAGGAAAATTAGTCTATCAAGAGAGTGAAAAAGTTGTAGCTTCAAAGGATGAAATTCTTAGAATTCCTAGAATTGGGACACTAAGGGGAAAAAAATCAGAAATACTGGTGATTGGAGGTAAATGAAATTGAGATTATGAAGAAGGCATAATTATTGGTAATAACAAAGCCCAAGGCAGGGCACTGGTATTGGTTGGCTAAATTAAGGGAGAAAATAAGAGTTTTGAAAGAGGTAAAAATAAAAATTGAGAGGCTAAGATAACGGAAGGATCATATCCATGGCTATTGAAATCACCAGGTATTATGATAAAAGTACTGACATATAATAGTGCTAGTAGGCCAATTGCTAACATCTTCAAGGAATGAGGAGTTACCAAGGGTCTACACTTGGATGGAATGGATTTCAAAGGGGGTAGTTTAGGGAGGAAGTGAGGTTATTGATGGAGAAATGGCAAGGAAGGACAAGAAGGATACTTACTGTTCCTCTTGGCCTTCTGGTATAAGGGGTGTGAGAGAGAAACCAGTCACAGCTTGAGAAGACTTAGAAAGTAGTCTCCTCATATGAGTACCAGTAACAACAAAGAACCAATATATTGTTAGAAGAAAGGAAATACAGATCAAGGAGCATCTGCTTGTATGCATTTAACTTTGTGCTATCCCAAACCAGTACTAACAAAGATGGCTTTCAGAGTTGTGGAGGCTAGATTAGTTCCAGAAAAGGGTGCTACCTACTGCTACTGAGTCAATTCCAACTCATAGTGACTTCACAGAGGAGAGGAGAATTGTCCTTTTGAGTTTCTGAGACTTTAAATCTTTATGAGAGTAAACAGCCTCCTTTCTCTCTTGTGGAGTGGCTGGTGGATTCAAACTGCTGACCTTTTGGTTAACAGATCAATGTATAAGCTACTGTACCACCAGGAAAAGGGTAGCTTACAGAAGTTGCAAGACTGTAGCATTTTTAATCATTCATTACCTTAGTTGCCTTAAACATACATTATCAATTATGGTACAATAGATGAAAACACAGCAAAGATCTATGTGATTTCTTCCTTGAAATAAAATGATCAGATTTATCATCTACAAGAAAAGGAACCAAGTGTAAAATCATTGTCTATAAAAATCCTATCAACGAAAGGCTAAAGAACAATCCTTTTCCTGAATTATATGAACCAAGAACAACTGCGAGGATGGCAGAGAACAACTGGCTGCTTCGCTCTGTTGGACACAGGGTTGCTATGAGTTGGAACTGACTCGACGGCACCGCTAACAACCAGCAACAACAAAGCTAAAGTGAATGATGAGACCTGTAGGCCAGAGGGCTCAAAAGGCAGAGGTTACAATAGCTTTGCAATTGCTTTGTCTTAAAAAAAAAGGACCCCTGGAGCAGGAATCTTGATAGTCACTTGGAAGGACATGCCCCTCCAAGCTATCTGCTATATAGAAATCTGAAGAAAACAGAAAAGTAATTGATTTGGACACTTTCTAAGCGGATTTTTACTGGTCCTCCTTTGAAGCAGGTATTTTGAGACAAAAATCATTCCAATTGAGGCCAAATTACAATATACAGGAAAACCTGAAGCTTAGAGAAGATTCATGGCCAGAGCTGTAGGACTTTAAACTGGGAACTTGCATGCTAGGTGTGGAAAAGGACAGCATCCCAATGTTAACAATGAAAGTTTAGTCTTATTTATGGCTTAGCATTTCAATTGAACAGATTTTCTTTATTCAGAATGATTATTCTGACAGCCCAAAAGCTGTCTGGCTATCATTGTTGTTGGGTTTTACCCTCCCACTTTTGGAGTTCTGGGCACAAAAATCCTAAAATCCTGGCTCACCTGGGCTGTGATTGGCACTCTGGGGAAGTGCATTGGTGATGTTGGGCAGCTCATGCCCATAATTCCCATCCTCCAGGGGACAGACATCAAGGTCGCTCCACTTCTGCAGCTGCAGCAGCCAACAGGATTTTTCCTCCAGTTTGCAGTGTGGATTTAAAATGATGCACACCCATAAAGCCCCTGGAAAAGAAACGAACCCACATTCTTGATACTGCTCCTTACATGTCTGGGTAACCCTTAATGCTTTAAGTTTACTCTTCTCTTCCAGTTTTAACTGATCGAGAAAGTTTCCAAAACATTAACTCATTTCCTTATAAAAATTAAACAAACCCCCCCAGATCTGCTAGGGTTTTCAGAACTGGCTTATTTTTCCTTCCCAAATTTTCTTTACAACAGGGGTCCATCTTTACACCTAGATCGGTGTGCTTGTGCTTATGAACAAGACAGATTTGGGCTTCCATTCTTTCTTTAAAAAAATATAACTTAAGAGCATTTATTTTTAAGTAGGACTTTAAAAAAATCATTTTATTAGGGGCTCATACAACTCTTATCACAATCCATACACACATCAATTGTGTAAAGTGTATTTGTACATTCATTGCCCTCATCATTCTCAAAACATTTGCTCTCCACTTAAGCCCCCGGCATTAGGTCCTCATTTTTCCCCTCCCTCCTCACT